ACTGGCCGATAGTCATTCAGACCAGTCACTGTAGAGCTTTTTTTGGGACTGGGATGATAGTGGCAGTCTTCAGGCAGATGGAAACTATCTCCAGGGTAAGTGAGGTGTTAAAGATGTCTGCCAGCACCTTGCAGAGCTGATCGGCACATTCTTCCAACACTTTCCCAGGGATGTTGTCTTGGCCGGTTGCTTTGTGAGGGTTAATCCTCCTGAAAGTACTTCTTACTTCTGCTGAGGTCACGCTGAGATGCTCTTCATCCGGTGGTGAAGTGAGTCTGGTGCTGGGTGGTCTGTACAGGTCTTCAAAGCCTGCACAGAACTTGTTGAGGGCATCAGGCAGAGATGGGTCTTTGGGGCATTGTTCGTTCCTGCATTTATAATCTGTTACGCACTTAATGCCCCTCCACATGCTCCGTGGGTCTTGGACAAGTTTGTGAAGGCTTTAGATTTTTTTTTTTATATATTTCTGCATAAATATGACCTAAAATATCATCAGATTTTCACACAAGTCCTAAAAGTAGATAAAGAGAACCCAGTTAAACAAATTAGACAAAAATATTATACTTGGTCATTTATTTATTGAGGAAAATGATCCAATAGTAGATATTTGTGAGTGGTAAAAGTATATGAAACTTTGTTTTCAGTATCTGGTACCCCCACCCCTGCTCCCCATGTGCAGCAATAACGACAACTAATCATTTCCAGTCCTGCACACCGGCTTGGAGGATTTTTTTTTTTTTTTTTGCCCATTCCTCTATACAGAACAACTTCAGTTCTGGGATGTTGCTAGGTTTCTTCACATTAACTGCTCACTTCAGGTCCTTCCACATCATCTGGATAGGATTAAGGTCAGGACTTTGACTTGGCCATTCCAAAACATGAACTTTATCCTTCTTGAACCGTTTTTTGGTAGAACCACTTGTGTGGTGAGGGTCATTGTTTTGCTGCATGACACCCCCCCCCCCCATTCTCTTGAGATTCAGTTCATGGACAGATGTCCTGACATTTTCCTTTATACTTCTCTGATATAATTCAGAATTCATTGTTCCATCAATGATGGCAAGCCTTCCTGCCCCAGATGCAGCAAAACAGGCCCAAACCATGAAACTACCTCGACCATGTTTCACAGATGGGCTAAGATTCTTATGTAGGAAAGCTGTTTTCCTTTCTCCAAACATAACACTTTTCATTTATACCCAAAACTTCTATTTTGGTCTCATCCGTCCACAAAACATTCTTCCAGCAGCCTTCTGGTTTGTCTATGTGAACTTTAGCAAACTGCAGATGAGCAGCAATGTTCTTTTTGGAGAGAAGTGGCTTTCTCCTTGCAGCCCTGCCATGCACTCCATTGTTGTTCAGTGTTCTCCTGATGGTGGACTTATGGAAATTAACTAGTCAGCCTTCAGCTGTTTAGAAGTTACCCTGGGGTCCTTTGTGACCTCGCTGATTATTCCACTTCTTGCTCTTGGTTTGTTGGTCCACCACTCCTGGGGAGGGTAAAAATGGTCTTGTATTTCCTCCATTTGTGCACAATCTGTCTGACTGTGGTTTGGTGGAGTCCAAACACTTTAGAGATGGTTTTGTATTCTTTTCCAGCCTGACGAGCATCAACAACTCTTTTTTTCTGAGTTCCTCAGAAATCTCCTTTGTTCCTGCCATGATACACTTCCACAAAAATTTTGTGAAGAGCAGACTTTGATAGAGCCCTGTTCTTTAAATCAAACAGGGTGTCCACTCACATCTGATCATCATACCATTGATTGAAAACACCTGATTTTAATTTCACTGTTAATCCTATAGGTTCATACTTATGCCAATCACATATATGTAACATTGTGTTATTTCCATTAATAAATAAATGACCATGTATAATATTTTTGTCTTGTTTGTTTAAATGGGTTCTCTTTATCTACTTTGAGAACTTGTGTGAACATTTTATGATGATTTGACTCAGATGTATGCAGAAATATGGATGATTCAAAAGGGTTAAAAAACAGTCTTGAACCACTGTATTTTTCTCACCCAACACACATTCTCTAAATTCTTCTTCAATCCCTAAAACTCGGTTCATTTCTGTGAAATTAGTTAAATACCTTTAATTTTTGTTCATTTATTTAAGCACAGCTGAATATCAGCCACTCCCTAAATATCCATTACTGAATACTTACATGGACTCAGCTGCACAGCTGTACTGAAGCTTCCCTGAGTCTTTGACTCTGGTACTTTTCCACTAACTAAAAAATGCACTGTGACTGAACTCAGATACCCCCACCCTACACATTCCTGTCCTCTTCTGCAAACATAATTAAAGAAATTTATAGTTTCTTCAAATGGCACCTTGTGTATATATGTATATGTATAAATAAATAAATAAATAAATATATATATATATATATATATATATATATATTCAGATGAGGTGCTTGGAATCAAAAACTTGTACTGCATTTCTCACAGGTGGTTGAATTTTTTGAAGGTTTGATACATTAGATTTGTCAAGAAAAATGTATTAAAATATATGTTAAATGTTGTATGTTTATAACATTAGTTATATTATGTTATGTTTAAAATATGTTTAAAGTCAAATCTGATCTCATGAGGAAAAAAGCTATCTTTAGTCACATCATAGCAATAGATTTCCATTAATATAACTTAAATATCATTAATTATGCTTAGTTAGCTCCACATTCAATGAATATATACCAAAGATACTTTGTACTACAAAATATTTTGATAAGTCATTGATAAATAATCATGATCAGTTTGTAAAAACAAAAGAGGCCAAATAGACAAGGAAAAGGTACAGAACTTACACTAAATTTGGAACTAAACTGCTAGCAAGTGTCCTTATCCCCAATGGATATACTTCTCTATTTGACTTTAAGGAAAGCCTGTAGATAACATGTGGGAACTCAGAAGTTGAAGACAGAGCTGTACAGCATTCCCACAGGATGGTCCCAGTACCTGTTTTAACATTTTTTCTAGTATTTCCTGACACAAATACAAATGTGTGCGTTCTGGGTTGTTTCATGGGTCGTCATCTTAAGATTTTCCCATTTATGGAGTTTGGTAACATACAGTGAGGTAGGCATATTTTGCAGACTTTCACTCCCATGTCTCTTTAACCGGTCTAGTAAAAAAACAAAAAAAAAGTGATTTTCTCCTAATAAAGCCCTTCCAGCAACAATCTTCAGGTTTTGCCAGAATGCAGGTTTTCCATGGCTCTCTGAGTTCAATGTCACCTTTCAGAGGGTATGGACCCAAGGCATTTCAGGGGAAATGATGGACACAAAGGGCTCTTTCAGCAGCAGAATGCCTCCCAGTCTGACCTAAATCCCCTCCCTTTCTCAATTACCCCCCTTGTCGTTCCTTCATAGCAGCTACTCAGACATACAGCCTTCATCTTAGGAGCAAAAACGTCCAACTTTTCACAGTCATGGGTGAAAACATACCTCTTGTGTGGGAGGAGGCAGCTTTCCAAAATATGTGGATGCTAAAACTTAATAAGACTTGATGGGAAGGAACATATTTACTTATTTGTCTTTATGATCTGGCTACGTTACAATGAGTGGTGGCATTGCTTCTTGACGGATAGTGCATTTGTAGGTTTTACCCTCCGCATACAACCCCTCTGTTCTGCCATCCATCTTACAACCCCCATCTGTAGAGCTTTCATCAGGTTACATGTACATGTTGACACACTCACCCAAAGGTACACTAAACTACTACATTTGCACTCGTGTAGGTCATCACACCACACCCCAAAGCCCTCCATGTGCTTCCCCCTGCAGCAGGGCAGAAACAGGCCTGATTGATTCTACATGTGATGTATTCAAAGTTGGAAACAGCAAAAACAAGACATAAGTCTGTCTGCAGAGGTGATGAAACCCAGACATTCCTCCACAGTTGCTGGAAGGGTCAAAGCACCAAAACAGTTTGAAGACACAGAACAAACACACAATGACAAATTAATGAAAAACACAAAGGATTGAAACAACGAGTTTTATTAAATCTCGACAATAAGTTAAACAAGTTTTCTGAGTTCCAAAACCAGTCACTCACATCCGTCAGAAAAAAAAAAGAAGACTTGAAGAAACACAAAGAAAAGCAAATGAATGATGCTATTTTTTTTAGATAGGGGAATTTTTCAAGTAAAACTGAACAATTAAAACATACTGTCTACGGATTTAATATATTTTAAGTGTGATTGATATATACATATATACATATATATACACACATATACATATATATGCATATATATATAAAATTATTACAAATCTCCAATTGGATACTTCGGTGTACAAAAGTACAAGGAAACCAATTCCAACAAATAAATGATTGTATCTCAAATGCGACAACAAGGAAATATTTTAATTACCAGTAGTAAAATTTTGCAATGCTACACACTTGGAAGAGTCTGTGTGTTTGTCTGTAGCTTAGGAGGAAAACAAATCACAGACAATGTCCAACAATTCCCCTGAATGAATTTCTTTAAACGTTTCATGACCAGTTTGAAACTGATCAGGGCCAGAGTAAAGTTTGACCTCATCGTGTAATCAGCACCTTGATCGAAAACAGAGGACTGGGGTGGTGGGGGAGGGGACAGACAAACATGCAGATTCCTGCAGTCATGTGACATACAGAATTGCATTTAGTGTGATTTTACCTGAAATGCACAAAGGGCACCTGCACATGGTACAGCTGCTTGTCTTTAAAACTACCAGTGTGTGTAAATTATGGTTACCAACATGATAAAAAAAGTAAAGTAAAAACTATGAAAACCTACAGTACACAATAATCCTAGAATGGAGCTTCTCTCTGCCTTGCTAGCTGCAACTTTTGCGTTTTTTGCTTTAGTAATTTATGAAGCTAAATTTTGTGTTATGGTAATCACTTCTGTCTTTTCCAATTCCCCTTGTCACTCTGTTTAACAGAGATTTTTTGAAGCAATCATTATTATTTTTCAAAGCAATTGCTTTAAAAAAAAGAAGAAAAAAATGCATCCAAAACATTAAAGAAAACATAAATGAGAAAAAAAAATAATTTAGAGTTCACTATAAAACAACAGCTCAAGGATCAATGAAGGACACTGCGATGTAGCGTGTGCCATTAGTCGTAGGTAAGCCTTCGTGGAGATGAGTCAAACGCCCTGGGTGCATAAAGCTCCAGCCTTTTCTTGGTGATTCTATGGAGCAGTTATACCTATGAAATCGACAACCTCCGCCCTAATAAGAACACAGAGGGAACATGTAGAAATGAGATTCTTCTTACTTTTCTTTATGCAATAATTCACATCTTTTAAATGCAAATCAAATCTTTAGTCCATCATACCTGAAAATCTGTATTTTTGTTATTTAGAGCGATGTTGATGGTGAAGGTGGAGGAGTCATGGTGGGGCCTCAAATAGGCTTGTCTACCAGGTGTGTATTTTACAACAAAGTTCATTATTGCATAACCCTGCCATGAAGGGAAAAGTACATGTTAATTACCAGCCATCGCATCATACTTCCAGATTTGTGTTAGTGGAAATTCTGTGCAGTATTAGCTTTGTTAATCTGCAAAGAGTTCCACAGTTTCCTTCACTAGGTCAGACTAACCTTTGTGTAATAGCCAGAGAAAACCTTTAAAGTGACAGGGGAAATGAACTCTCGGATGAAGTGTAACCACTCTTTGTCAAACCCGATTTGCTTCATGTGAATGTCATCCGTGGGCACCGTCTCGTAGCCCCCGGCTATGCGACGATCCTGTGAAAAATGTGAGAAAATAAACGTGTGAATAACTAGGGAACAAATGAACCACCGTTTGTTTCAGAGTGGAACAACAGTGTGATGTAGTTGATGGTGATGATGTGTCTGTGTGTCCTGTTAAAACCACAGGCTGGATGTCGTCTGCCTGGATGAGGTTTAATGACCCATCCAGCCCAGTCTTTTCCAAACAGCTAGTCAAACTTTCTGCACATATTTAGTCTCAGACAAACTTTCAGACACATCAAAAGACCAGTTTAAATCTACATAAAACAGGCCACACAAATCAGATGCACCACAATGTTAAACTTTTTTTTTTTTTCATTCAACCTTTATTTAGACAGGTAAATCCCATTGAGCTCGAGGACTCATTTACAAGAAAGTGCTAATTTCAACAAAGAATGATGAAAACAATGGACAACAGCTACAACAATAGACAGTTATAAAAAGGCATACAGATTATTTTTTTTTACAAATAAGATGGCTAAAAAAGTAAGAAAAAAACAGCTAGATTTTAAGGCGAATGTAGAAAACTAAAAACAGGAACATGTCTGCATTGGTCCCTGCCAGGAGTCCAACAGATTCTTAAAGCAACTTAGAGAGGTCAAGGTCGAGAGCTTCAAATCTTTTTTGTAAGATATTCCAGGAAACAGGAGCGGAATAGGAGAAGGCCCTTTTGCCTAATTCAGTCCGCAATGAGGGAACACTGCAGGTAATAATGTCCTGAGAGCGCACGCTGTAGCTGCACTCACGCAGAGACATGTAGGAGGAGATGTATGAAGGCAGCAGATCAAGAAGTGATTTAAAGATGAAAATGTACCAGTGAGAGAGTCTGTGTGAAGTTAATGATGTCCAGTTAACCAGTGAAAACAGGGTGCAGTGGTGGGTACCATAATCACAGCCAGTTATGAATCTTAGTGCACCATGATAGACAGCATCCAACATCTGCAGGGTTTTTGTAGGAGCGTTCATGTAAATAAGGTCACCGTAATCAAGGGAGGGAAGGAAGGTCATAGATACAAGGCATTTCCTAGCATTCAGAGTTAGACAAGATCTGTTTCTGAAAAATAAACCCAGTTTAACTTTCAGTTTCTTTACTAGGTTTTCCACATGGAGCTTAAAAGAGATATTTGAGTCGATCAAGATATCCAAATATTTATAGGAATCAACAAACTCAATAGGGACACCATTTGAGGATGAAATCAGAGGAAGAACTGCTGGGACCGCTTTCCTATTTGAAAAAAAGCATCCCTTTGGTTTTGTCGGCATTTAGGACAAATTTAAGGTGGAACAAATCAGACTGGATGATGTCAAATGCAGATTGCGAAAGATGGAAAGCCTTATCGACTGTTTTAGCGTGACAATAAACAACTGTGTCATCAGCATAGAAATGTATGGATGCATCAGGGATGTTTTGACCTACATTACCTATGTAGATTGTAAAGAGGGTGGGTCCTAAGACTGAGCCTTGTGGTACACCATTGTTGACTGTTATATAACTGGAGGACGTACCATTATGTTGAACACATTGCCTCCGGTCTGAGAGATAGTTAGAGAAACAACCAATGGTGTGTTCTGAGAAACCAATTTCTGAGAGCTTATGACACAACATGTTATGATCCACAGTGTCAAAAGCTTTAGACAGGTCTAAACAAAATCATAATTGCCACCTTTGAAATTCCAATTTAATATGATGTATGTGGGTGTACTCATATTGTGTCTACAATTGTGTGTTAAAATTAACTAGAAGGATCATTAAGCAGATACTGGGAAAATTGATTTTGACAGATTTGGATCTAAATTGATTAATTGCAGAGAGTAATTGTTACCTATAAGTTCTTTACTATTTTTAGGGTCAGAGAAGCTGAAAAAAATGTCCTAGTTCAGAGCTAATCAATTGGCGGCCCGGAACTCAGTTCGGTCCACCAATGGATTCATTTTTAAATAAAACTAGATTTTAAACCATAAAACAAACGTATTTTATGACAGTAACTGCTGGATGTCTGGCCCCTGAGCTTTAGGCTTTCAGTAACTATGGCCCCCTGAGCGATTTAGGTGAAGAGCCCTGGCATAGTTAATTGTAAAGTTTCTTCAGGGTTTGTCACAGTGAGCGAACTCACATAAAGATTTTGCAATTGTTTTAATTCTGGACGCCTTTCCTGACATAACCACCGACCACAGCCCTCTGTGTGGAGCAGAGGGCTGCCTTCTAAGGTGCCAGAGGGAGCAGGGGGAGCCTAAAGGCCTTGCTCAAGGGCCCAGAGTGAGACAAACGAGGGTGGAGCTAGGTAAAGGTGCTTGACCATTTCCAAACATATTTTGATATAACGGTCGGGTTATTCAAACTGGTGACCTCCTGATCCCTCCTCTAACCTCTGCGCCTTCACTCCTCTGTATTACAAGAAGTTATGAATAATATGCACAAACTGACTACTGAAAACATTTAATTCCTGCCATCATAAAAACAGAAAGAAATAGGTGAAGTCCTGTGTTTGCAATGCAATGACTGCACTGTGTTCAGGAAGTCTGGGTGAACAATACTGACCTCATGTTTGCCTCCAGACCATGAGCCATATTGCTCCATCTCCTCAACTAGTTCATCACAGGCTCTCTCTGAGAAGACTGGGAACCAGAACACATCTGGACAAGGCTGCAACACACACACAGCCACACATACGAGCAGAAATTACCACTGAGAACAAATTTGAACAATTTCACCTGGAGTTGTAGTCAGTGTAATGTAACACCCAGATGTAAAAAAAAAAACAGATGTTAAAACTTCTTAGCGACATTTCGTCATTCTCTCTCAGTCTGCATTTGTAATTTGAGCGCATGTAGATAAAAATGTCCATACAAACCTGCTCCAAGAAGTTCTCAGTGAAAATGTGAGTGTAGTTTTGGTGGATATACTTCTCTTTCCAGTCCTGCAATCAGAGAGATTGTCAGATAAGTAAGCATTTTTTGGACTGCCTGATGACCTGCATACCTCACAGGGCTAACCCCTTCCCCCACACAAGACAGCTCCAAGCTTTTGTTCACAAAAGTAGACAAATAGGTCAAGCGGTTCCTCACACTCAAGTCTCATATTGTTTTAATTAATAATCCTTTCATTATTACAAACACCTTTCACAGATTATGACGACTTACCACTGGGTTCTCAAATATTTGCCACAAATCGTTGTTGTAATGGGAAATGTTATAATTGGCTGTGGAAATGAGTCTCCCAAACTCATAACGGTTGGTTATGTACATGAAAACTCCCTGCAGCAAACAAAGACAATCTCAGTTTTATAATAATTAAAGAGGCAAACAATTTGGATATTTCACACACAATATATATGTAACTATGATACATGCAGAAGTACAACAAAGACACTCATAAATAGTTTATGATTGTATTAAATGAGAAATAAAATATATATAATTCCATGTTTCAACATGTTTAACTTTGAGGTTAAACACACAAAAAGAGCATATAAATAATCTGAGATTATTTATGGACAGGCTTCTCTGACTTGCCTTGGTATGGACAAGGTAGAGTCATAAGGGAGGGAGGCAGGAACAGTAGGGCAGCTTGGGATAAAGCATGTCTGGAAAAGGTCATCTGTCTAAAGTGAAGCATGAGAGGATGCTGTGTAGGAGTGGATTTGGACTCACTATCAGACTAGGCTTTGATAACTGCAATAAAAATAACCACTAATTCTAAAATCATTCAGCAATTTAGTGGTGCAAATTTCCAAATTTCTAATGTCTAAAATAATATTGTAAAAGCTGAGATTATGGCTCAATGCATTGCAGTGAGCCTAGTCTGAGATCTGTGAATCAATCAGTGTGTTCAGTGGAGGAGAAAGCTGGTTACACGTGTTGGCTGCGATGTTTAGACTTTCAGGGTAAAGCATCAGGACAGGGGACTTGCAAATGGATTGACTCTCCAACCTTATTTAGGATCTTGTTATGAAGGAAGCTATTTAAAAAACTTCATACATCATGTATTTCTTGCCCTAACTGAGACAAATCATATTATTATTGTAAACTTATAACACCAAGCAATGGTTATCATCAATTTACAAAGTGCTGTCACCCAACCTAAGTTATAAGACTGTGGCACAAGCAGCAACATTAACACCTAATTATTAAAATACATTAACCAACAAAATAGTGAAGCACCAAAAAGGAATGGTCTAATTCAGATCTAACTTGATACACATATAGTCCAGTAATGGATATGAAATGATCTGATTTGCAAGGGGCAAGAACAAGACCCAGAAAACCTACTGTAAGTGGTGGCATCATGAGTGGAGTGAAGGTGCTATATTGCAGTTTCTGGAGCATCTAACAGTCAGTCAAAACAGTGACTGAATGGCCATCAGACTCAGAGCATGCCTCATATATACATTAGACCCCATAACCAGAACTTGAGAGAGAATTGGATATGAGTCACATTCTGGGTTTGTATCAGACCAGTGGACATAATGTCTAGCATGTAAATGGTAAATGGACTGTACTTATATAACACTTTTATATCTTACCAAGATACTCAAAGCTCTTTACAACACAACCTGTGCCCTCATTTACCCATTCATACAGCACTCTACTAGATCTACACAAAGAATAATCAGTGCTTTATCATATTTATACACCGATGGCACACACATCGAAGGCAATGAGGGGATCAGTGTCTTGCACAGGGACACTTCGGCGTGTGACTGTTGGTGGAATCAAACCCCCAACTCCATGATATTTGTCTGCCATCCAGATATAGGCATCAGACATGTTAAAACATCCATATCATCTGGTATTGTGTTCTGACAACTGGGATCAGCTAAGCTTTGGATTCACCATACCATACATAGGCTGCCATTAACCCAAGAGACACTGACTAATGACTCTGACCCAGTGCAGATGTGATTACAACAGCTGTATGATTCCTTTCACACTGAATTGTATATCCAGGACTGGACTGAAGAGAACAACACCCTACTGACATGGGACCAACAGAGGAACCATGCTGCCAACACCATGACCCAATAGATATTGTATTGTAATCACTAAAGTCACATGACCTGTCAAAATGTGCAATTCCATATTTTATCTACCACTCCATCTGGGTGCTTAACTTTTTTATTAGTTAATGGAATCTAATCTAAAATTATATAATTTCCAAAGGAAAATTCTGTTTATAAATTATTACATTTTTATATTAAAGGAAATTAATTAAACAAACAGACTTTTACTTATTGCTGCAAATAAATCTTCCTATCAATCCAAACTGGAGATAAAACAGTCTGTTTAAAAAAATAATAATAATCCAGAATCCCATCAATTTCTGAGAGCTATACCATTGGAAATAGATGTTTACGAAAATAAATATAAAAGTAAATGAAGACCTTTGGCGGCCTGAGCATATGGAATGATTCCGGAGAAGGGGAGTCTTTTTCTCTGTGACTGGTCTAAAATAAAGGAGAAGAATCATGTAAACATGATTACATAAAGTGCAGTATTTGAAATGTGTACATGTCACATATTATATATCAAAACTTCACAGAAACGCACCTGAATGACAAAAGAAAGCAAGATTCCCTCTGAAGCTGATGTTTTTGTGGGTTATTATGGAAGGAATGCATGCTAGGTACAGTAGCTGTTTAAGCTGTACAGAGGTGACATATATGCAACACAGAAAACAGGTGGACACATGTAAAAGACAAGGCAAATGTTATCTGTTGGCAAGCAGGCGTTGCAACTGACTAAGGTCATGACACCGAAGGCAAAAGAAAGTGAAGAATGATGGAAACAACTGGAGCAGTGAATATTAATGCACCACAGGCAAACTATGAACAGAAAGTCATGCCTCAATGGCAAACAAGGACATTTTAAAACACTCAATACTTTCCTGTCTTCAGTTTCCACCGAGCTGTTGGCTTTTGTTAAGAGATAGATTCATAGCATCTGTCAACTTGTTAGGTTGAGTCCTGATGCATGCTCAATAAGCCAGGTAGATAAATCTAACAAGGTTGAGTCAGCTTGCTATGTTGAGCTGTTTCAGTGTATAAGCAATAATCATATTCACAATCTTCAATAATTCTAAACAAAATATGCCTTCTTACCATTTCGCGGGCATTTCTACACAGAGCCATATCTGGGTCAAGTTTCTCCAGAACAAAGTAGTTCCTTTCTTTAAGTTCATTCCTTAAGACGCTGCCCTTAATGAGGTATGCATGTGCCATGAAAGGAATGTTCCACACGCCCCTTGAAACAACAAGGCACACAGAAAGTGTCAGTTGTAGTCAAAATTTGCATTTGCTAATGTTGTTATTCACCGTCTATGATTTAGGATTTTGTAATTACAAGAAACTGTGTTGAGAAATGAATCAGTACAAAGTGGGGTTGGAACACTTTGGTGTCTGATTGGTATATTTATCTACACATTTGCATAGCAGACACTAGTTGCAGGGTATACAATGTGCTGTTTATTTGCAACATCTGGATGCAAACTAGTTTTTGGTACATAAATAAAATTAAGTTTTACTAGAATGGTTTTCACACCACAAGCTTGTTTGCTCTTTAAATTACTTATTAGGTAGATTGTTGCTTTAATTACTCGTTAAATGTTCACTTTGGGTTTTAGGACACCAGGATATGTTTTAGAGATCCATAAATCAAAACCTAGCATGCAGGTAAGTGTGAAACAAAACCAGAAATAGCTTTCGACCTGTTTGTGACTTACACGCGTTTCCTTTGTACAATGTCAACATAATCCTCGGAGCGTGCATAATACCCATCCAGACTCAAGGCTCCCCAGAAGTTGGACCACAATTTGCTGTGACGAGTGACAAGGGGACCAATTATTTTTCTGTGGGGAAGCAAAAGGCAGGGTGGAAAGAGTGGGGAATTTCTGTCAGAACAGATAAAACTTGGGGAAATATCACAGACAGTCAGCTGCCTAATGTTCTGGCTCTCTGAGTGGTAAAACCATTGTGCTGCTTCAGACAGATTAAACAAATGAAAACAGTTCCAATACAGTAACAGACCATAGACATGCATAATGCAAACCAGACCTGGTCATTATGCTGGACTGAATTAAATAAATGCAGTTGACTCGGAAGGGCTTTTTTATACATCTATCTTGTATTTTTCTGAATTATGCCTATAATACACATGGTTTTACTACTAGTATCTTCAGTCTAGAAAATCTAAACCCAAAATGTATGTTTTTCGTATGTAAAATTCAGGATAGACTTTAAAAAAATTCTATATAAATTATGGTGTTGGTTAGCACTTATGCAAATTAATGCATTATGACAGACTATTGCAGACCACAGACCTTGGTTTTCTCCCACAGAGACTTGTGCCAGCTGAGAATTCTCATGCCACCTTTAAATATCCTCTAAAAAGTCATTTTGCTTTGCATGCCTCCAGTCATTTACAATTTCACTTCTAAAACCACAGTGACATCCAGTTTACGAGAACGTTTCTGCCCAATCACAAACTGCAAAGGAGGGAAAAAGTGTTTGCGTGTTTGTTTTTATGTAACGCTAAGCAGCATTTCTGGGTTGGCACAACATTCTTTGTCAGTGTTTCCATGTGACCAGGATACAAAACAGGAAGCCAAAGCAGTGTATTTTAAAACTTTAATTAACTCGCCCTGTAAAGTTCATGTGGGTTTGCCACTTTAGGGATAAATTCAACACTTGAATTATCAAGACAGCTACCAAGGTGGCATGTTGAATGAAGTCCAACATGGTTTCTTTCCTGCTTAGTGTAAGATTACCTGTTTTGCTCAATGAGGAGCTTGACCGTCTGTCGATTGGTGAGCATCACATCCGAATCAATGCTGAAGTAGTAGTCGCACGTGACATCCTTACGACAAAGATCCCTGAGGATTAAAATGCACATAAAGGTAAAAAAAGTTATATATTTGAAACTTGTGAGTTTTGAGGTATGCAACACATTTTGGTTCAGTCTAAAAAAGTATCAATTACTCTTCAGTGGATTTCATGATTTCAGAGAAAATGTTTTTTTGTTCAATATACTGTATACTGTAGATACTCAAGGCAGTACATCCTGTGCTAATAATGGAATCTCACCAATGTTTCCTTCATGATTAAAATACAAGAGTAAAAACTGAATCCTCATTTATGAAAAGGACAGCTAAACCTTTTTATTACCTTGGTAACATCACAGTATCTCTCGAGTGACAAATACACCAGTTTAAAAAAAAAAAAAAAGAAATTAGGATGTGTAAAAAAAAACATCTTATCAGTGTATTCCTCCGGTGACCTGGTTTTCTAAAGAACCTTCACAAAAAGAACTCTGTGCAACATAAATAAGCTTGTAACAAGAAAAATTGAAACTGTAAAAGCCCCATAAAATATTCCAGGGAAAATATTCCATTTTATAAAATTTCCCAGTGGGTCTCATTTTCTTATTGAAATATTAAATACTGGTAGTGATTTAAAGACAAATAATACGTAAATAAATAAATGCAACTATGAGTAGGTAAATCATTATTTCAATCAAATGTTCTATTAAGATATTTTTAATCCAACTTTATCTACTTTTTAATGTCTTATGGCATTTATTTGATAAATGTAGAAGATAGTTTGTTACATTATTAGTTTCACTTAATGCTTTCATAGCTGTAGGCTATCCTTTGGACACACAGGTGTTAAAGCTAAAATATAGTCCAGCAATCTTTTGTGGTAAAGCTTATAGTAAAATAAGTTACAAACAGTTTTAAGTTTGTTCAAAATCTTGCTTGCAAAATTCAAACTACCACTGAATAATACATTTTGTGCTGTTTCTTTAAGAAGTGATTAGGTAACTTGATTATACTTTACTTCATTTTCTCTCTGTTTTCCTTCTATCGTGATAAATAATTGGGTTGCAGCACTTTGGTTGGCATTGTTGCTGTTTTTAAGTGCTTTATAAATAAAGTGCTATGGTATGGTATGGTATGGTATGGTATGGTATGGTATGGTATTATACGTAGTATGGTATGGTATAGTATTATACGTAGTATTGTATAGTATGGTATGGTATTATACGTTGTATGGTATGGTATGGTATGGTATGGTATGGTAAATACTATTATGCTATCTTTGTTCAGTTTTATTCTACAAACAACTGATTCTGATATTTGATCGGCTTATCCTATACACACATACATTCCCATGTTCCTGGCCTCTCCTTGGCTCAGATTTTCTTCTGGTCCCACAACTTTGAAACTCTTGAACACATTCTTATTCTCCTCCCAGAACTTCTGGATGTGCTTTTCATGGTAAACTTCCTGTGCAAGAGGCAAACATTAATGACATCAGTAGAAGCCATTCAATCAAGAGGTGCTGAAGTAAACTTGAGAGCAGCTGTATGCACTCACGTTATTATGAACAAAAAGTTTCAGTTTATCTTTTGGATAGTCCAGAGTCAGCAGCCGCTGGAAGAATTCGGGCAGAAACGGAGTTGGCTGCTCAATGAACACTCCCACTAACAAGTTTGGGTACTCCTGTTTAGATTAGAGGAAAGACAAATCATTTCCCTTTCAAACAATTTGTCACAGTAATGCAGCGTTGCTTAACAAAAGTTATAAACATTTTTTACACGTCAGTTCTTTAACAAATCTACTGTAACATCTGCTGCAGATGCTTCACTTTATTTTACTCAAACGAATAAACAATGATTTTGATTGTTACACATTGCTATGGTATTTGCTTAAAATGTACAATATGTCATATTTACATTTATTTAATTTAATTTTCATGAAGATTGTGGGTGAAACGTGCACTTTGCATTTAAAATATGTGCACTGAAGAGACGCAGAGAAATGAAGGAAGAGACAGAGAAGAAGAAAAACGTTCCCATGACACTAAGCTCCAGCCCACACATGCCAGTCTGGACTTGTGATCTTCTTGACCAGTTCACAGCAAAGGTTTGGGCTGAGGATGAAACGCGATCCCAGCAGAACCATCTAATTTTCATAGTCCGCAATGACTACTTTTGGTTTGTTTCTTAGAGGAACCTTCATTTGGCTGCCAGCAGACGGGCAAATAAGTGAAGTGGCACTGAAGGCACACAAAACTAAACAAAAAATAAAAAAAATAACCCAACTAAAGCAATTATCAGCCGCAAAAATAAGAAACACCCATGCTTTTGTTTGACACAGACTAAGGTTGAGCAAGTTGTTAATTTCTCCGTCTGTCAGGCACAGAAGTGGTCTTTTAGTGGTGTAACACTCAGAGTGTCAAAAGTTCAAAAACAAAGTGCAAAAAAAAGCCACAGTGGAGTGACTGTAAACTGAGTTCACCCCACCAGAAAGGTTTGGACACAGTGCGACCACTGTTCCCACATGACTTGACCGTCCAGGAGTTTCTGTCCCAAACAAATAAAGGGACGACGTGGAATGAAACGGCTTTCCCTTATTTGACCTTTATTATGGCAGTACTTTCTGAATTTATTGGGAAAAAATCAAAGAGGTGCCTTTTGTTTAGCTGAGTATGTTCTGAATCAGCTAGTAATGGTTCATTACTGCAACTTTTTAAAAAAATGGTACCTCAGTAATCTCTTTCTTTGACAACCAAGGTGAACGCCTTAATCTTCCTGAACTAGGACACATTTGTTGCACTTTTCCGATTGAAAAACAATAAAAATAGCAATTGTTTGGCTTTAGGTTTATATAAAAAAGTAATAAAATGTGGGGGAATGCTTGACAGACCCAACCACACACAGCCATAGACATTTCCTAAACCCTGGAAGTCTTGCCTGACTTCAGCTTTGGTTAAACTCTGACAAATTTTCAGCATAACCACTATAACTCACTGGAGTGGAAAAAATCCCAACAGAGGAGCAAACTAAAAGGCACCCTGGTCAACAGTGACACCCCTTCAAATGAGACCCTCTGTAAACCTCAGAAACCATATCCTGCACCACAGCCATGCAATGCTTCCCTTTCCCCCTGAGCAGTTCACCTCAAACTTGTGCTCTATAAAAAGGTCCAAAAGCATGAGCTTATTACTGGTATTTTGGTAGAAAAAGAGAGCAGAATCAACGGTTTGCTTATATGTTAAAACAGGACAAACTGGGCTTTAGTCCTGCTGTCCAGACAATCATTAATAGACAGTTCATGACAGAAAACCCAGAAATGTTTCAGTCTTTCCCGAATCCAAAGACAAAATTTTCCACATTTGCAAGTTTTCAACAAGTATGACAAGTAGGTGGAAACCAACTATATCACTTACTTGTAACTGAGACAGATCCAGAACATCATCATCACAGTGGCTGCATCCATGATCGTAGTTCCATGTATTGGGGACATAGTTAGCCAAGTAGTTCAAGTATATCTGTGAACGGAGGGAGTTCAGGATTGTTTTAATGTGTTATTGGAAGATTTATTAAAAAAGTTACTTGAAAAAACACAACATGCTGAGTCTAGAAAGATAAAGTTATAATAAACTAAAAGGCCTAGCATTCATCTGGGTCACATGACTACAAGGGAATGATTCTGTTTTCTAACAGAGCCTCTCCATCAACTGTTCAGGCCTCTGGGAAGAATGACTCAATAGTTTGGTGGGTTTGGTTCATCTCTGAGGAGGTTTAGACACATGTAGCTCAAAATGGAACAAAATTTGTGATGAATTCTGGGAAGGAAATGACCAGAGAAAAACTTTATGGAGTGATAGCTTTTCAGGCATCTGGTTAACTTAGTGCATCTATCATGTTAAAAATGAGTGATGGCAAGAAGCAAATATGAAACACATGGTCCGAAGACGTATCTTTCACTCTAATGAATAATGAGCAGACCTTTATGACTGAGGTAACTGGAAGGCATCCAACAATCTTTCTGCTAGATTTTTTTAGAGTCAAAATGTTGTTTAATTTGAAATGTAATGTTCCTGACGACTGGTTGTTGGGCAAAGATCTAAAAGTAACCCAAGACAGGAAATAATTTCAAAGTAGCCAAGCTGTGACACATGCAAACTACATTTATAGTGTCAATTGGTAGAATTTCTTACTCACTTTGGTGTTTCCATTGCCATGGACAACGACTGGCAAGGAGTCATACACTGTGTTTCTTACTCTTACTCTGTCTGTTCCAAACTTGAGAAGCACCTCATCTGCCAAAAATGGGGAGCACAAGATATTTAATACTAGGTTAGAAAAACTGAAAAAATGATAGTCTTTCAATGCCAAAACTAAATGTTCTGTTCTTTTAAAACATTTCAAACCTAATGCCAGTAAAGCAAAAGCTATCTAATGCAAACTGTCATTTTTCTCACATATATAATAAGCCTAAAATTTACAAATTATCTGGAAAATAAGTTAAAGAGGTCATTTTCTTTGACTTCTTACCAACGGCCCCATTCAAGTTCTGGAAAATCTGACACCTATGGTCCAGAGTCATATTGAGTTTTTCCTGTTGGATGTGAATAAAGAAAATGTGCTTGACAGTTTAAAATCAATTGTTTGAATAAATGACTGTGGTCGCACACACATACGTACTCGTTGCAATGGATCCAGGTATATTTTGGTGTAGAAGAGCTGGTCATCATCGTTGTCATGAAGGTTCCACTGGGAAACTATCCTGTTGATGTATGGGGCATAGCCAATTATACCTGCAAGGAATCAACAAGGATAAAGTCATACCAATGTGTGAATGGTTGTGTGAGAGATGTTTACAGGGTTCTACACAACTGGCCAACTATTGTGGGCAATTTTACGACTTCTGCTGAATTCCAAGCCTACAATTTAACCAATGAGGCATGGATGCCTTAAATAAAGTGGGATTTTTAAGGCAATAAGCTTGAACACATAAACAAAGTGCAAACTTTCTCCTCGAACAGTGTGTAAATTGAAATAAGTGTAGTGATAAGTAAGAAAAAGCCACTTGTTAATTGTGATAATCTTACTTAAAGTTGAGCTTCTGGAACTGAACGCACCACTCTTTCACACAGTCTGAATGTACATTCTCATGACAGTCTACCCCGTTGGTTTTTCTTGAGTCGGCTTTTTATTTCTGCCACTGTTGCTCAAGGATACTGACCACAGACATAGATTGCAGGGTTTAGCAGTGTCGCTGGTGTGCTTTGTTTTACATCCCATCATTTGAGAAAAGCCTCAGACGATGTAAACAAGTCAATGGATAGACGTGACATAATCGAAATGGCAGTAAGAAGAAAAAAAAACTCTAAGGGAACCGTGAATTTTACGCAGATTATATTGTTGGTTGACGGTTCGTCTCGACGGATCCTGGGAAATCGCTGCAAACTGTAACCCTTATTCTCTTGATCTTTTAGGGGATAGTGCGCTACTCTATGAGACAACATTCTCAAAAAATCCTACAAAAAAATTGCAAAATACAAAGTATTTTTGTATTATAGAAACTTATGGAAGTTCGATTTGCAGCACTTGTAATTCTTGGCACTCATGCAGACAAGTATCAGTTACCAGTAGATTCAAGTTCTGTTAGTTTTGTAAGTGTTTTTATTTTGTTGTTGTTGTTGTTGTTGCTATGATAAATAATCACCCCCTAGCCACACATAAACCCTCTGTCTCTCAAATCCATCCTGGGAATCTGTAATTTTCTGTGACACAGTAGTGTGTGTCCAAATGCCATAAAACTTTCCTCACTGGTCACTTGGGCGGTAGCCGTTGGAAGACAAACAAAGCCTGCAATTTCATGCAAACTGTGGCACATTCAGGGGCCCAAGACAAATCCACATGTCAAGTCAATGACAATGAATGCTAAAAACAGTCTCTGATCAGTCGGAGACAGTCAGGCTCCACTATGGGAGGTCAGACCAGATTGATGACCACAAGGAAAGCAGTAATTCAGTGTCCTGGGAGACTGGCATCAATCAGCTGGCAGTACTTTTCAGATATGAACATGTATTATTTGCTTCCTTATAGCATCTAAGTGTACATATATATACATTCATAACACACCAAGAAACCTCTACATGTAAGATAGATATCTGTCAGAGCAACCACAGAGAGGGCGATTGCTTCAAAGACAGTATGCAGTTATTTTTCACATAAATGGTCTTCGCCCACATCCTGTTCGCAGTGGAGAGGAAATATCTCACAGAGCATGTTTACATGAAAAATATACTTCCCTTTTAAAACCAAGAGACAGTAATAAAAATCCTGGGGCTTTAGGTTTTAAAACTAACACAGGTTTGTTGCTGTTCCTCTGCTTCAGCACACCTTACACTAATAACACAAAGGGGCTACTGCTGCTTAACCCCCTGAATTCCTTCAAGTCCTGCAGGTCTTCAGAGTTCAGCAGCTGATGGTGGAATGTGTAAACCCAGTCCACCTGGGTGAGTTGGTTTATTCAAACACCACTCTACTCCAGTAAAAATTGTCTAGACTTATAACACAAAAACTCAATTCATTGGTGTTAATGATTTTAAGTTACCCACCATACTAAATTTAAAATAGCTAATTAGTCATACAACTGGTTATACTAAAACTTTGTTCTATTATTAGCCATGGCATACTGTATATTAGAGGTAAACATGAGTGTCAGAGTGGAAGTGGTTCCAGTGCATGTGCATGGATGGTATAATATAAACCAGGTGCACATTTGAGCATGTCACCCACAAACCCAAAGTTTATTGAATGAAAAGCATATTATTTTGCATGTGCACTTATTAAAGCATACTTTTGTTTGTCTGTTGTTGAAGAGAGAAATAATCGTCTGCAGTAAATTAAAATATGTAAAACTAATTGATTTATTTCTGGTGTCTTGTCACTGATAATCAGTACATCTTTATATTTTTCTTCAGTGGAGACAAACTCCACGCAATTATCTTTTATTGTAGTCGGTGCCTTAAATTTGTTTTTCCCTGTTCACAATTCACTGTGGGTCACACCGACCAGACTTTGCAGCTGGTGTGGAAATGGTTTCTGCGCCAACATTCCAAGAGCCCACCAACTTAAGAGTAGGGGAAGGTGATAAGTCCAACACACTCAATGTACCAATGCATGTAATGTTTTGAGTGAGATGTACAACCCTAATTATGAAGAAAAAAAAATGAATTGAGATAATGTGTAATACATAAATGAGCTGTTGAAAATTTCATAAACACGTTTATTTTACAGTGGACCATAGTAAATATATTAAATGTAGTTAAAAAAAGTAGTCTTTTAAAATGTTATGGCAGCAACATATCTAAAACAAATTGTGACAGAGCCTTGTTTACAACTGTGAAGAATCCCCTCTTCTTTTAACAACAGTCTAGAAGCTGAGGAGACCAGTTACTGGAGGTTTTGGAGGAACATTTACAATTCTTGTCTGATGTAGGATTCTAGCTGTTCAACAGTTTTGCGACTTGAATGCTGGATTTTTATTTTTATTTTTATTTTTTTTTCTGAATGGGAGCATATGGTCTTTTACAATCTGCATACACTTTTCTGAATATGATGATGCCTTTCCAGATGTGTAAGCTTCTCATGCCCGAGGCACTAATAAATGATTTGTGGAAGTGAGACCATCCATCCATACATCCATCCATTATATTTAATCCCCTTCTTCCTTTTCTGGTCATGGGGGTCACTGTTGGCCATATCCAGCAGTCACTGTGCAAGAGGTGGGGGACACCCTGGACAGGTTGCAAGTCCACCACAGAGACACACAAAGACAAACAAGACAACAACCATTCACACTCTCACTCACACCTAGGGACAATTTAGAGTTACCAATCAGCCTAACATGCATGTTTTTGGTCTATGGGAGGAAACCGGAGTACCAGGAGAAAAACATCACATGCACGGAAAGAACATGCAAACTCAACCCGAAATGCCCCCGGCCGAGATTTGCTCCGTCAACCTTTTCGTTGAGAGGCAGCAACTCTACAGTGGGTAAAGCAGGTAATGATATTGGATGGTTGGATGGATGATGGATGGATCAGAGTTGTACATTGTGACAATTAAGTCTAAATTTTCATGTTGATGTTTAAGCCCAAATAGCTAATTCACTGCAGGCTAACTTTCTCTTACACTAGTGATTGTTTCACTGCTGACAGGGCATACATTACAATTTAAAATGGATCTAAAGTGCCTTCCAAGTTCTTCTGTTACACCAGCATAGTCACTTTTTTTTTTTTTACATTGAATTGTTTTTTTGATTACAATTCTTTATAAAGTACATCATAAAAAAGGATGACCAAACAGCTTATAAGTGCTGCTTCCTGGTATAAATACATACTATTAGCTATTGTGCCTTTTGATAAACTATGTTTTATTTAGGAAACTATGAGGCTGTCTTTCCAAACTTTAAAGGACATTTTAGTATACCAGATCAAGAATAGACAGCTATAAATGAGCTGAGGTGTGTACTTCAGTTTTCTGGTAACAGATTTCTTTAAAAAAAAAGTTATTTTTAAAAACACAGAGTTAGCATGAAATCAGCAGATGGAAATTCAACAAAGGATCAACACATTTTGAAACCCACCTCCTGAGTTGAGGTAGCGCTTGCCACTGCGGACTGAGGGATACTTGTCAGCTAGACGTTTATCTGGCCATAGCAGCCCCTCTGCAGCAAAAAGCACTTTGTGATTGGCCTGCTGAAACTTCTTGAGAAGCTCGTCTGGTCCCCCAGCAAAGATCAGATCATAGCTAAAGGGGAGGAGTGAAAATAAAATGTAATAGATCATTATTCTTTTATTTATCCTTTAGGAGCTGTCTTTATCCTGAACATGTGCCGTTGTGCATCTGTCAGAACTTCGCCTGAGACAGATAGAAATCTAAATGTAAACAGTCGACATTCCTCATGATCTGCAAAGTCAAAAGCATTGCAAGCTTGTGCAGGGAGGTGTTTTAAAGCAGCTGTCAGACACTAAAACAAACTTGAACTGATTTGCATAGACATAAGAACAAAGAAAAATGTGCCATACATTAATTATTCCTTTAAATCATTCTGCTTTTTATAAAATAAACCTTTTACTATCTGTAGACTTCTTTCCTTTTGTAGCTTTACATTCTCTTCAACCTAAAAGTTTTATTACTGTACAACCATTTTAATAGATATGGATTTGATTCTATTTATGTCCTGTCTCCAATGCCGATTTAAAATTATTGTACTCAAAATGAAAAAAAAAGACAAAAATTACTGCCCTATAAATCAATTTTATCAGATAGCAGCAAACGTAAAAGTAAGTCAAAACTTTGTGGAGGAAATCAGTGTGATCTGTCCACATCTGGCAGACACATGTTTATCCACAAATCCTCTGTGACTTGTTACCTCATAAATCATTTCTATTTTAGAAACAGACATGTAGTCCTATAAAGTACTTTTGTCAGTGTCTGAGAAGATTGTGGAAAGAAGGTCAAAACAAATCCAGTTAGAAAAATGTCCAGATTTTACATTTTCTTTCATATTTTCACTATCTGTTATTCTGACGAGATTGAAGAGTGAACTCTGAGCAGGGTCAAGACCAAGGTGCCATCTTTAGACAACTCCAATCTGAAAAAAAAAATGTTTTAATGGAAATTTTATTTACTATTTTGTCTTTTTATTAAAAGAAAACTAAAACAAAAATAGAGGATTGCCATTTATTTGCATGTAGCCAACTGAGTCAGGAGTAAACATAAATGTTGTAAGTGTTGTGAATAAGTTTATACATAAGGATTAAAAAAAAAAAAAATGGCAACATGTCTTCATCATCAACAAAGTCCATGCTCAGTAATCCAGGTATACAATCCAGCAATTTTCAGTCAGGTCATCTGGACAGTTTCTTTTTTTTTTTTTTTTTTTTGGTGCTGAAGCATTTCACCTTCCATCCAGAAGGCTTCATCAGTCAAGGAAACACACAACACAAAACTGATTCTGCCCCCAACAGCTTACTCCTGACTGAAACTTGTTGGATTGTATACCTGGATTATTGAGCATGAACTTTGTTGTTGGTTTTGAACCAGGTTGACATGACTGTCGACGAGGAAGAGGGCTGGCACCGGAGGAGGGGGCTTGCCAAAGACACCATCTTAGCACCAACATAACTGGTTGGTTCCACTTTGGAGTAAGCTGTTGGGGGAAGAATCAGTTTTGTGATGTGTGTTTCTTTGACTGATGAAGCCTTCTGGATGGAAGGTGAAACGTTTCAGCACAAAAAAAAAGAAACTGTCCAGATGACCTGACTGAAAATTGTTGGATGTCTTCATCACTTTTGCTTTAACAGAAGCCAACTTGATTTATATTTTAAAATAATAATAAAATCAAACATAGTATTTTTTTTTACTCTGATACCTATCTCATTAATTTATCTTAACATTAGATGAAGCTCATTATGTCATGCCATTTCAATTAGTCTGGATTTCTTCCTGCTTTTGAATTAATCACATTCTTCTTTTGCAGTCAAGTGAGTATGTACATGCTCAACAACCCTACTTATACAAAAGTAAAATTAAACATTATTTTATTCTGAAGTTCAGTGCTTAAGGCGCTGATTATATCATAGTTTAAAAGAAAAAAAAACCCTGAAATACCAAAAAACATCAAAACACTCCAAACGGCCTGGCAGAAATCTTTTTGAATTATTCTTAATCTCCTAAAACACCCAAGCAGTGTACTAGACTACAATCACTTCCTCTAAAATAGAGAAAATTACATTCCAACCACCTTTTTTAAGGGTGTGACAGCTTTGAACAGCAATTATAGCAAACATTATTCACATGGCACCGTGCAGTAAAAATTATATTTTGCTCTATTTAAGGAAAAATGTCTCCCAAAGCCCTTATTATTCTAAACCACACACACACTACCTCAGATAAACTTTCCACTGGTCTTGAAAGCTCATAAATGAGTTGCTTGTATGAGAGAACGGTCCTCATCATGTATAATAATGCCTTTGCCAGAATGAAAACTGATGGTTTTTTCATACCAAAACACCTCTCACTAAGGAAATGTTGCTTTCTGTACTATCATTACAGTAAATGATTGTTAATGGTTGCACTACACTGCATTTAAACGTGCTTTGCAGTTATTTTTGAGGTTAGATCTTAAGTTTAAATAGAAACTAAACCCCTCTAATAAATTAGTGGATGCTGCTGCATATAGCTAATGAAAATGACCATGAAGTGGTGACCTGATGTTACTATGATAATACAGAAACCCTTGATATAAAACAGAGATAGCCAAAACCGTTTTGGTTAATAGCATACCTATCCACAAACAGAACAACAAGATCTTCCTGTTCAGCAAGAATCTCCATGGTGTTCTTCAGTAGCCTGACTTTTTGCCCTCCACCAATAGAATGACCAACATCGCCCCCTTTCCATGCTTCTCCCATACCCAGCACCTAAGAAAAAAAAAAAAACACAACAGACAAAAACGCTGAGGTAGAAATATTTATGGGTATATTCTCACTAAAAACTAAGGTTATTTTTTAAAGCAACATTTATTAAAGTTTGAAATGGATTTTAGGGGAATAGCTATTGTTAAAATACTATTGTACCTGATTTTGGAATGACTTGAGTTTGGGGAAACCAAGTTTAATTTTAACCAGATTAGATAATAGTTATTTTAAAATGGAATAAATCTATGGTACTTCATTCTCTGTCCTGCTCAGGGTGGCTGTTAGTTCATTAGTCTACTCAGAAATAAGCATAAGATTTCCTAACTGAGGCCAATCAAATAACTTTTTTTAAAACAGGAAATAAAATAGTAGTTCAGTCTTTGCAATGAACCCCACTTTAAAATATTTGAACTTATATTTAAGTATTCTGTTGGTAGAAGAAAACAAATGTAAGTGTTTTTACTTTCAACTGCAAGAGATGAAACCTTGACAGAAACTGGCAACTATTTGTAATTTTAAACTCTGTGTATGTACGTTATCTTTAAAGTACTCTGAACAAAAATATGAATGCAACACTTTTGTTTTTGCTCTCATTTTTTATGAACTGAACTAAAAGTCTAAGACTTTTCTATGTACAAAATAGGTCTTTTCCTTTCAAATATTGTTCACAAATTTGTGTAAGTTTGTGTTAGTGAGCACTTCTTTTTGGCTGAGATAATCCATCCACCTCACAGGTGTGGCATATCAAGATGCTGATTAGACAGCATGATTATTGCACAGCCTTAGGCTGACCATGATAAAAGGCCACTCTAAAATGTGCAATTTACTTTTACTGTTTTGGGAAGGTCCAAGGGCTCAGAAAACCAGTCAGTATCTGGTGTGACCACTATCCACCTCATGCATTGCAACACATCTCCACATAGAGTTGATCAGGTTGTTGACTGTTGCCTGTGGAATGTTGGTACTCTCCTCTTCACTGGCTGTGTGAAGTTGCTGGATATGGTCAAGAACTGGATCATGCTGTCATATACGCTGATTCAGAAGTTGGGATCACTGACATGATTTGACAGAGCATCCCAAACATGCTGTATGGGTGACATGTTGTGCATTACCATGCTGCAACAGGAGCTGATGGTTATGGATGAATGGCACAACAATGGGCCTCAGGATCTTGTCACAGTATCTCTGTGCATTCAAATTGCTACCAATAAAATGCACCTGTGTTTGTTGTCCATAATGTATGTCTGTCCATAACTTAACCCCACTGCCACCATGGGCAACTCAATTCACAACAATGACATCATCAAGCTGCTCACCCACATGACACCACACAGTCTGATATGACCATGCTGGTCAGAAACATGACTATCTGCCCTGTACAGTGAAAACCGGGATTCATCCGTTAAGAGAACACTTATCCAACGTGTCTTACGCTATCGAATGTGAAAAATTGCCCACTTCAGTTGGTCATGACAACAAACTGCATTCAGGTGGAGACCCTGAAGAGGACAATACGTATGCAGATGAGCTTCCCTGAGATGATTTCTGATAGTTTTTGCAGAAATTATTTGTTTATGCAAACAGACTGTTACATCTGTCCAGGTTCCTTGTCTCAGATGGTCTTGGAGGTAAAGATGCTGGAAGTGGAGATTATGGGCTGGTGTGGTTACACTTCTGCGGTTGTGAGGTCAGTTAAATGTACTGCCTAATTCTCTGGAACACCTTTGTAGACAGCTTATGTTAGAAGCCTTAAGCAGTTAGGATTAGAATCAGCACCTCCAAATCTGAGGCTATGATCTTTAGTCAGCAAAGGGTGGATTGCTCTCTTTGGGTCATATATCAGGTTCTGCCTCAAGTGGAGGAGTTCAAGTATCTTGGGGTTTTGTTCATGAGTGAGGTAAGAATGGAGCACCAAAGTTCATGCTTAATAATCCAGGTAAAAATCCAACAATGTTCAGGCAGGTAAGTAGGATAAGGTAATGGACGCTCGGGTAAAAATGGAGCATGAAATTGACAGATGGATTGGTGTGGCATAATTGCAGACTCTGTGCCAGTCCATTGTGGGAGCTGAGCTGCTACATTTCTAGTAGTGACCAAAAGAACAAGATCACAAATGCAGGTGGTTGAAATTACTTTCCTCCACAGGGTAGCTGGACTCTCCCTTAGATATAGGGTGAGAAATTCAGTTATCCGGGAGAGACTCAGAGTAGAACCGCTGCTCCTCCACATCAAGAGGAGCAAGTTGATGTGGTTTGGACATCTGGTAAGGATGCTCCCTGGGTGTTTCGGGCATGTTCGACTGGATGTCTGACTTAAGGCATATCCGACTGGAAGGAGAACTCGGGGAAGACCCAGGACACGTTGGAGAGACTATTTCTCTTGGTTGGCCTGTGAACGCCTTGGAAGCCTCCCAGAAGAGCTGGAAGAGATGGTGGCTGTGAAAATAGATGTCTGGGCCTCCCCGCTCAAATTTCTATCCCTGAAACCCGACTTCGGTGCAAGCGGATGAGAAAGGATGTATGAATTGAGCTGCCTTTTATTGTGGCCATCCTAAGGCACACCTGTGCAATAATCATGCTGTCTAATCAGCATCTTGATATGCCACACCTGTGAGGTCGATGGAATATTTTGGCAAAGGAGAAGTGCTTTCTAATACAGATTTGCACAAATTTGTCAACAATATTTGAGAAAAAGGCCTCTTGTGTACATAGAAAAAGTCTTAGATGTTTGAGTTTAGCTCATGAAAAATGGGACTAACAATAAAGGTGTTGCATTTATATTTTCATGCAGTGTAGCATCAACCTGATAAACCTCAAGTGCCAAATTAGTTGCTTCTGTAATCTAAGTTGTGGAAAAATCAGAATACGGTAGTTTTGCATCAAACCACTGTGAAACAATTACACACTGAGGCACGTGAGTTTGCAAATGAGGGCATGGCACAGCTGAGCTGCAAAGTAAAAAAGCTGTTTTTAACCCTTAACTTATTTCAACCACGAAGGGGAATTCTGGATCTACACCACTGAATATCCCCCTGGGATAGATTTTTTTTTTCTTTCTTCAGTTTGCTACACTTCATTATTTCCTTTAACAGGCCAAATCAATTTGGGTAAGTGTGTGTGTTAAAAACAGCTTGCTGCTGAGAGTGAGAATACAAAAAGTACATTTTAAGGCATTGTTTCAGCAAATTGGATGAGCCTTACCTTCACAGTGTAGTTAAAATAGTTAGCAGTCTGCATGAAGCGGTGAAAACCATCTGTTTCCTCGGTTGCAACAGTAAGGATCAGTAGCTTTTCTGAAGAAGACAAAAAAAAATCACATATTTTTTTAGCTACAACAGTATTGGGATAATTGGATTTAGTGATGCACAGGCACATTCCAAAGTTGCAAAACGTTAAAACGCATCCACAAAAATGTGTATATTTTTTTCAAGCTTAAATATAAGGATTGCAATCCTCGCCACTATGAACCCTGTACCATGTAAACCTCAAACCTATGTCAACACACTGGTAACTATTTGGTTCAGTAGCCCAACTCTGTGTCTTAATTTAGGATTGACTGCTGTAATTTTAATTCAGTTCAAAAACAGTAGATGTTATTTCAAACATGGTCTCAATAAAATATTTCCTCTTGGGATGGAAGAGCTCCCACAAACCTCTAGGACATTTCCAGTAGCCATAAGTGCTGAAGTCTGAGGTCTAAAGAAGGGTTAACCAAATACAAATTTTCACCATAGTTTAATGTAAAGCTAGAGAGTGGAAAACTCTACTCACAAAGCTAGCTTCTACTTGTTCTGTTTGTTTTGTGGGACATACCGCAACGCTTCAATCAGAAAATGTCCTGTTAAGAGCAAAGGAAGGAAGGAGCCACGGCTTTCTAGATCTTGTTCATCAAATATTGTGAATGCATTTATTAGATACGTTAATTCATCACGAGGCGACATTAAAAAAATGTGCTAAATGTGTGTCAGTCTTCAAACAGGGCAACACAAACTTAATGAGACTTTAAAAAGGGTTTTATAGCGCTTCTTGAACATAGGTTCTGCTTTTCATGTCATGCTTCAACAGCAAATCTGCCCTCTAATGCACAAGACTGAGCTCCACCAAATACTTGTAAATCATTTATTGGCACTTAAAAAGTGTTGGTCTTATAAAAGCCTTGTGAAGAAATAAGTCAAAGTGAACTGAGTAATGTGTAAGAAGCTGGTGCCACATCTTCAGAATGTAAAGAGATAAAACTCATTTATCCAGCTATCCATCCATCTCCCCAGCAACATTTCACATGTGGAGATAGTTGGCCTTGTCATTGCTCTAATAATTATTGCTGCAATCACCTGATACAATGATTGGACAATCATTCTGCTACACATTGAAAAAGCTACTGTCTGGTTCTGTTCAAGCCATTTCCTAACTTAAGGTATACCTAAGAACAAACCCAGTTCAGAACTCGGGTTCTCATTAAGCTCTGAATAGAAGAAAAAAAAAAGAGCAGCAGGTGTTCTATGTTCTTGGCATAAAGAAAGATTAAAAAAGAAAAACTTGGAGGACATTTCCCTTCATCTGGGAAGCACATTTTCCTTACATCTTTCTAAAACAGGTGATTTTATTGCTTACAAGGAAAATTTCCGGGCTTCCCTTTCAAAGCCCCAGACAGTCATAGTTACACGAGGTGAATTCAGGTCAAGCAAACTAAAAACCTAGCATAATTGCTTTGCTTCTGGGGGAAAAATACATCATATAATAAACTAAAGTGGTGTTTTATCTGTAGTGTGCTAAACTTTTTTATGCCGAGTCATACAATGATTTAAAAAAAATATTTGTAAATATGGAAATAGGGTATAATTTTGCTGTCTCTTGGAAAAACCACAGATAGCTGTAAAACAAATGAAAAGACCAAAGGCTCAACAAAATACTTAACACAGCTCACTGATTACTGGAAAGTCGTGCCTGCAGAGATTAATTTCATGGAAAAACTTGAAAACTTCCGCAATGTGTTGTAATAATTACACCCCACATACATGTAGTCTCTCTCATTTCAATTAACTCTATACCTTTGCATCGTTTTCACCAAAAAAAAAAGAAACATTTGTCTGTTGTTTTTTGTAATTTGTGCAGTAAATGAGAAACTGAGCTTCAGCAGCCATAAAGACAACAAAAAGCACTTGTCTCTCATTATCCAACGCAGACATTTCCCCTCAGGAAAAACTGAACCAACAGCTGACCTCAATTACCCCTTCTGTCTTTCCCCTGGTTCTGTGGAATCAAGCGCTTTATTCTTGTCATAAACATGCAAGCCACCTGAGTGCATCGCAGCAAGCAAACTTCCACTTAACTACACCCTGGAGATGAAAAACTTTGTTGGTTAAAAGAGCTGAGACAAACCTTTTGTTCTGACGCTGCACTATTGGTAAGTATCCTTCATTGCTTTTCCATACACAGCTTATTGTAGAACGAATATTTTTAACTTGCAGTTGCTTCCCGCAAAGCAGAGCTGGAAACACCGGCTTGATGTTATTACATTGTTTCTAAGGACAACAAAACATGTGAGAATGTAACATGGCGAAAATGATTGCTTTTGATCTTGTAATAAACCTAAACGGTATATAATATATTGTTGAACGATTCTCGTTTATGTCCTTACACAGTTTTGAGGGATGAGAAACAAGAATCACTTCCAGCATTGATATTTAGTAGCCACTTAATGTTTCAAAGCACACAGTGCATACTTAATAGTAGCCATCAAGCAGATAATAATCTTGCAATACCATGTTATTTTGAGGATACTTTGTGGATTTTTAGCAGAACATTGGAAAATATGAAATGCTTCTATCTTTAACCAGGGTGGCAAATTACTTTTCATTGTAATTTCTTCTTTCTGTCTTACAAAACCTTTTCTTAACAGTTATATTCAAATACAGTTTTTTTGTCAAATGGGAAAAAAGTGGTAAGAGAGATAAATTGCAAAGTGCTCTGAAATTTTTTGGATTATGAAGTGACATCCCTTGTAATATGTAAGAGAATAAAATGCATGCCCTATTTAAGGCCACTGACAAAACACAAGATTATTGGCTTACATACGGCTGCAGAGGCACTGACATCTTCTACTTCCTCATAATCTTCAGCATCATGTTCGGTTGCACTTTTAATGATATCAGTCTTTATTTACAGACATATCAATAGAAATATACTAGATACCTATCCACCCATCCACCCACCCATCCATCTATCCAATCATTATCTTCCACTTATTCTGAAGTCGAGTCATGGGAGCAGCAACTTGAACAAGGAGGCACAGATATCTCTTTCCACAGCCACCTCTTCCAGCTCTTCTAGGAGGATTCCAAGGTGTTCCCAAGCCAAACGAGACCCATAGTCTCTCCAGCGTGTCCTGGGTCTTCCCCAGGGTCTCCTCCCAGTCAGAGATGCCCGAACCATCTCAACTGGCTCCTCTCGATGTGGATGAACAACGGTTCTACTGCAAGTCTCTCCTGGATAACTGAACTTCTCAGCCTATCTCTAAGGGATAGTCCAGCTACCCTGTGGAGGAAACTCATTTCAACTGCCTTTATCCACAATATCATTATTTTGTTCACTACCAAGAGTTCTTGATCATAGTTGAGGGTAGGAACGTAGACCGACTGGTCAACAGAGAGCTTTGCCTTACAGCTCAGCTCCCTCTTCACCACAATGGACTGGCACAGTGTCCGCAATACTGCAGATGCTGTACCAATCCATCTGTCAATCTCACGCTCCTTTCTTCCCTCACTCTTGAACAAAACCCCGAGATACTTGAACTCCTCCACTTGAGGCAGAACCTCACCCTCGACCCAAAGCAACATAATTTGATTACATCTATACGTCAAAATCCATGTGCTCAGAGTCTAAAAATACAGACATTCGCAAGCAATGATGAGGTGTGGAGAGGAGTGTGATGTGATAGGATGAGATAAGAGGTGAACCAATGAACCAGGGCTTCTTCTGTATGGAGGGAATTGTTCCTGTTTGTAGTGGTAAAGCAAGAGCTGAGTGGACAGGCTGAGCACTAAGGTCACTGTTTCATCTGTGTTCTAACACTCACCAGTCATGAGATTTAGATAAAAACTGAAAGACCACAAATACTAACGGCTGAAAAGAGCTTTCTCAGTAAAGTGACTGGGCATGGCTTTGACAATAAAGAGAGAAGCTCTGTCTTCTGGGAGGGGGGAACTCATAGTTGAGTTGCTGCTCCTCAACAGAAAGAAGTCAACTGAGGTGGTTTGGGCATTTGATTAGAATACTTGTGGTTTAGTAAATATTCTTGTATAATATTTGTAGTTTTTTTTCTTTGTGTACTTCCATTGTAAGGAGACCCTAAGAGAAGATACCGAGATTGTTTAAAAAACCTACATAACCCATCTGGCATGGGAATATCCCTGGATCTCCCAGGCGGAGCATGTCTCTGTGGAGAATGTCTGCCTCTTTATCTGTTGCCTCCATGACCTGGCCTCAGAACTGTGCTGTACCTGATTTGGTAAAAAATGATATTCCACACAGATTAGGAATTGTTAATTTCAGTATACCTTCATGCACAACACAAGTCTCATACAATAAAATACACATCCACACAAGTTACAGGGTAAAATAAGACTTTTCTTGTAAAAATAATGGCAGACGTGCTGTATTGCATTGTTTCACTTAGGATCCAGGAAAAAACTTTCTCAAGACAAACAGACAATCTCATTATTTATTCTCTGATTCTCAGCTCAAAATAAATCCCAGAACAGCTGTTCAGTCCCTTGACGTGTTTTTAAATACTCCTACAAATGCTGAATTACAGTTAAGACACAGGCAGTCAACGGGAAAACAAAGGGGGGCTTTATACAGCAGTGATTTTAGAGGATGAGTGTCCAGTCAGAGTAAACACAGCATGTTCTCTTGACAGTTTGGTATGAGCACGCAGGGAGGAGAGGAATGTAGCCCAAGCAGTGCTGCTGAAACTCTTCACCAAGAAAGGCATTGACACCAAACAGTCTTCCCCTTTCACTTTTTGCCTATTCACATACTGTTTTAAGGTCTTAGTAAACATTTGCACATTAGTGAGCAAAGCGTCTAACTCATTGGGGTTAGCTTAAGTAGCATTTCTTGTAGAGGTTAAAGGTGTACCAAGGGAAGGAGCATGAAAAGCTTAAGTACTAAGAGTTGAAATATTAAAAATGAGAAGTTGATGAAATGTGGTGGTGCAAATACTCATAGGAATTGTTGCTATGATCTCCTAACTGGGAAAGTGTCTACACTAGACCCCGCAACGGCCTCAATGTCATTGCTGAGTGTTTTAAAGACACATCTGAAGGTTTATTGGCATGAAACAGGAATATATATATATATATATATATATATATATATATATATATATATATA